GGCCCTGTATCTCCATTCCTGCGGGAATGGAGATACAGGGCGAAAGGAGGGGAAACCGCTACGCTTCGACAGCTGGGAGCTGTCAATCACGCCCACCCAAACTATGTGTGATCATACCAAGTGTCTTTAAGCTAACCATATAAGCGTTCCACGGTTCGCACCCGGACATGCTTAATATTCTACCACTGCATGCCGGGAAGAGGCAAAACATTAAGATCAATTGTAAATCGGACTCGAACAAGCCCTCGAACAAAAAGGCTCTGCAATAAAAGTAATTGTTGCTGAATCCGCGCGCTTGATTCGCCACCCTCTCAGATGTGCGAAACGAGCTCAGTGTGAATGTGATTAACGTGACCGGCAAGATGTCTTTTACAGCAAGATGCGATCACATCAGGTTACATTGGTATCGCAACCAGGCTACCTTCTACGTTGGGAAATGCACAGAGTGTCGTATTAAGTCGCTGCACAGAGGGTCGTTTCAAGTCGGGAGGGAGTGGAAGGCGCACTTGGTTTGAGCGAGTTTATTTTTTAAAAAATGATTTTTCCTGGCTCATGGGCGCTATGCACATCGCTGTTCGCGTTTTTTTTCCCATTCCCCCCCCCCGACAGCAAATTCTCGGGGAAACTGGAGAACAGTGAATTTTGGAACACTTGGTAGGAATCTTAGGAATGGGGGGAAGGGGGGCGTAGCAGGGACGTCGGTTCATTTTCCGCAAATTTTCATCTTTCTTGCAGAACGTGCTCCGATCTCAACCCCAGTTCGCTGATGTTTTCCCAGGCCGAGTTCTTCCTGTACTTTTCCTAATCACACTCCGAGGCTTCTGCGGACATACCTATACTCCTTCCTGAGACGGGGTAGGCGTGGCATTCGAACATGGCACAGAACTGGTTACTCGTGGGATATTTCAATTTGAGACAACCGCCATCTTGTTCTTTGTTGGACAGAGACGTGACCACATTTGGGTCAAAATGAAAATATCTCTCCAAAAGCATAGCCACCACGACGTTTAGTTGAAGTACGCAGCCACGCCTACCTCATCTCAGGGATTTCGAGTGTACACGCAAACCGACATAAGTTGCTACTCACTGAGGACAAAGGGGCGTGTCAGTGCGCCGTAGCGCCGCATTTCGGATTGTGTTGATGTTATAATGAAGCAGTCGTCGATATACTGCAGTACATCAAAGGAGAGCGACTCAGTACTGGTTCTTCAATTCTGCTCATAAAGCAGACCGCAAGTACTGGTGCTAGTCGCTGACCCATTGCCAAACCCCTGACTTGAGAATAGTACCGCCCTGACCATTTGAAGATATTACAACGCAAGCATTCCTCGACCAGAGTCATGATGTGTGCTTTATTTAGTCCAAAGGTGTCAATGGCGGTCACATGCTCATCCAACATTTCAGATAAAGCCTGTAACGCTTGTTCGTTTTGGACGTTCGTATAAAGCGAAGTGACATCAAATGACTCCACTACACAACTTGATCCGAAATTCGAATTGTGTAGTTTGTCAAGGAACTGGTTCGTGTTGGTCAGGTGAGAGGGGATCTTGGTCAGCAGCTGGCTCACTATTGCATTAAGGTACCATGATATCCGGTCGGTTGGTCCACCAACGCAGCTTATGATAGGTCTTATCTTGTATGTGTCCGGTGACATTGATAACATGTCGCTGGGAGCAAGTTTGTGGGTCTTGATTAGACTATAAAAGACCGGACAAGCGGGCTTGTCAAGTCTAAGTCTTGTCAAGAACTTCCCATCGATTCCGGCAGACTTTCCTACCATCATCCACACACGATTGAGGTGTCTGCATTGGCTCCAGAAATCTCCCACGGTAGCGCGCTGATAAATGGTCGAGTCCTGCAGATGGAGTTCCGTTATTTCACGGTCTAAAGACTGTGGCATTACGACGAACTCTCCACCTTTGTCGCTAACGGAGATGCGCATGTACCGTTCGATCTCAGCTCACGTACTTCTTTGAACCCTTGCCATTGCTCGTAGGTCATATTGTTATGGTGAAGCCGCCTGCATCGATTAAGTGTGTTTAGCACACCCGACGCCAATATTCTCAGACAATTCGGCAGCTCTACTCTCGTAGTGAACGCCCACTTTTTTGAGTGCAGGAGCATGGCAGCATATGCTGCGGGTCCGCCTCTGCTCCCTGATTGGCCGACTGATTTCTGATTGGCCGATCTGATTTGGGGAGGAGAGTGAGCCGTACTGATGAAAGCTCCTGCCACGCTAGCCGTCGGCTCTCTCTCTTCCTGTAACTGCTGCGAACTCCTGACAGCAGGATATACTGCCATGCTCGGACCACTAGGCGAGAAGCCTCTCCCCTCTTATTGGCTAGCCACGCCCTCCTGCTGTAAAGCTGCGACGGGCACTACTGACAGGTGCTGCCCAGTGACGAGCTTTGAACTGGAGTCCCGTTGCGCTTCAAAGGACTGTGGCGTTGGTCCTATCGCGATTGGGCAAATTGGCGGGAAAATTTACACGGCTATGACGTCACAGAGGGCGCAACTACTGCTAAGCTGCTGCCTGCCTGCGCTACCGCTGTGTGCTGTCGTCCGGAGACCTGCCATGCTACGCCCAGCACTACTACTGCTAGATGTGGCTGGGCCAGAGCTGGGGTCCCGACGCGATATTGCTACGGTACCCACTGTTTTGAAATACCACGTGATGCCCGCGAAATCGATTGCAGTCACACTTCAATTGTCATCCTTCGCCCTGTTCACCCCTCCGCTTCGTTTTTTTTTTGATTTTTTGTGTTTTTTGTCGTCGTTTTCGTATTCTATTACTCGCGATGCCTTTTTACTGTCCGAGTAAGGAGTAGTTACTCAGGTTAGTTAGTTTCACTTAGTTTTTTGGGTAGTTTAGTAAGAGATAGTTTGAGAGAGCATTTGATGTTGATCGGGCTGTTGTCAACCAGACGTGCTCTCGCTTTGAGGGTGCCAGGGGTATTTTCTCGGGGAACCTATAGCCCAGTAGTTGAAGGGAGAAGGTAAAGGAAGAGGGAGCAGAGGAAGGAAGGAAAGGAAGTAAGGAGGAAGAAAAAAGGAAAGAGAAGAGAGGCTTCGCGGTTGTCAAGTGCTCTGAGACGGTTGATCAGTCCTTGTGTGTTTAGAGTGGAGAGAGGAGATGGTACGAGATGAGGATTACAGTTGAGCGGGTCTAGTTCTTTTGGAAGTAGGGATTTTGATTACATGAAGCTGAAAGAAAGGGGTTTTGAAGAACTGAGGTTGGACAGAAGTAGTTTTTTTGTTTTGTTGCATGCATTGACTTAATCATTTCGTGTAGTAATACTCTATTTGATATCTCTGCATCAATCTCATTACTATTTAACCCCGTGGTTGGACGTCGACTGCGCATCTGAGATCGACTCGCCACAGTCACCACACGAGGAGGAGGAATTCGTCTTAGTCTTCGTCGTAGGGGGGCTCTGATTTCTACCGTGGGGGGGGGGAGGGAAGGTGAATTTCTCTAGGTGAATTTCTCTAAGTGGAAAGTGGCGTACTTCGGCAGCACTGCTGCGCCTGTCCCTTGTTCCTCAAGAGGTTGGAGAATCGCCACAGTTTCACTCCTTGCTTGGACGTTGACTGCGCATCTGAGATCGACTCGCCACAGTCACCACACGAGGAGGAGGAATTCGTCTTAGTCTTCTTCGTGGGGGCTCTGATTTCTACCGGGGGGGGGGGAATTTCTCTAAGTGGAAAGTGACGTACTTGGGCACACTGGACTTTCGAAGACAGGGTAATGATGAATCCTTCCCAAAAAGGCATCGCAGAAACACGTAGCACTATTCTACTAATTAGTCATGTGAATTGATGTTCACTTCATTATCGAACGTCTTTCTATACTTATATATGTGCGTGTGTTTCAACATACATGTTTACCAATTATTTCCGTATTCGCTTAAGATGGAAGAGTCGGTTTTGTGCAGATTTCTTATTATTGTCGCGACTGATTTCTAATTTCCATGTGAGCACATATAGGAATGAGTACTTTGTTCCATGATCATTTGAATGAGGAAGGGATGGATATGTAGTAAATGCTCACAAGTTTTTTATTCCGTAG